TACACAGTGTTACAAATTCGGAACGTATCAAGTATTGGTAATCCCTGTAAGGATGATGCTATCCTTTATATCCGTCAGTATCGATGTGTAAACAATGCCATTAATTCAATGTCGTGAGAAACAGCATTGTGCAGGGATACTTAGGTTCCATTAGTGCTGGAATATCCGTCTAATTATCAACATAGCTTGCCGAATGACAAAAGCCGAAGCGTTTAATGGCCATTGATTTGTTTGGCTATCTGTCTTGTTTGTTCAATCACCCATCAAGACTGAACAAATTATTCTCACGTGTCTGGTGGTTTTCTAACGCCAGCAAGCTAACAAACTGGAAATGTAGATAGGATTTAATAAAACTGTGAGGATCAGTGCCTCATTACATTCAAAGGGGACACAGGAAGATGAAGCTCCTGTATGTGTTGGTGCTGTTGGCTTTGTGTAGATCTGCAACAGGCAGTATTGAGGGGATGAAGAAACTGTGCAGTGACCTGTTTGGAAACTACAGCACTAAAATCAGACCAGTATACAACCAGAGTCAACATGTTGACGTTCACAGCAGATTCAACTTGGTGGCCATAACTGAAGTAGACCAGGTCAGACAGATCCTCCACAGCAACGTGTGGATGAATCTAACATGGCGGGACGAGTTTCTCACCTGGAATCCTGAGGATTATAGCGGCATAAAGTCTATACACCCTCCACTGACTGACATATGGAGACCGAAACTCAACGTACCAGTGTCTGTTGAGGATCGGGATGTCTTCAAAGACGAGACATCCTCCATTACAGTTAACAGCGACGGCAGAGTAACTTGGTTACCTGGGGCAAACTTTGTTACTGACTGCAAGTTAGATCTGACTTTATTTCCATTTGATGTTCAGACATGCCAGTTCCGATTTCTACCCGTCAGCTATGATTCAAATAAGCTGAAGATGGTTTCATCACGCGTCAGCGCAGACACCCAAGGGTACACAGAAAATGGAGAATGGGGTGTTTCAGCTTCCAGAGCATACACTACTGAAAGAACCTTTGAAGATACCACATTCTCATTCCTTTACGTTGACATTGATCTTGAAAGGCGACCGATGTTCTTTGTCCTCAATGTAATAATACCTGTTGTTGTGCTTTCATTTCTCAACATATTCGTCTTCTTGCTTCCGTGTGACTGTGGCGAGAAGGTTTCGTATGCCATCACGTGCCTTCTCTCTCTGACTGTATTCATGAGCATCGTGAGTGAAATACTTCCTAAATCATCTGACAACATCCCAATGGTCACCCTGTATCTAACGTGTCTCCTCGGTATCAGCGTTCTGTCCGTGGTCGCCACCATCTTCATCGTCATGAAAGATCCTTCGAAGGTCAACAAGAAAATCCCACAGTCACCATTATTTGTGATTCCTCGTTTTTGCTCCTTACCAGGAAGTAGACGCAGGATCATGGACCAGGTTCAACTGGATTGTAAAACCGATGGTTCGGCTGGCAATGGAAATGGAATTGGAAAGGTTCTAGAAGGTCAGAGTATTTCTGTTGGGTACTGTGTAACTGCTGACTCTCTGTGTATGGTTATATTCACGGTTCTTTGGATGGTTGTGTCTGTGGGATTCCTCGTCAAGACAACACAATAAAATATATCTGTATTGAATTATCATTCAAGTATATTCTGGATCATCATATACTAAACGAAGCTGTTGATTGTTAGAATTATTTCACTATTTAAAAATGTAATAATGAAATATTTAATCTGTGGATCTTGTGATTATTCGAAGACGGCAGAACAGCATCTTTCATGTCTATGACTCATGCCGCCAAATCATGAACGGCGGATTGGGCACGTAGAGAGGGAGCCATTTCATCGCACACCTGCTCTATAGAGTGGAGAGAGATAGTTGATTTGCACGACAAGACAGTACTAAAACTTTTTTGCGGTTGACGATTCACCATTGTAACTCTAGCGGGCATTATCATGTTGCCATAACGTTGAAGAAACGGAATTGTTAGTGGTCCGAAAATCGGATCACTCTAGATCACACCACGTGCGTCATTACAGCCAACGTTAAAAACGGACACTTCTGTAGAAACAACGCCCACCACAACCAAGGTTGATAGTCATGATTTTGACTCAACTATAGGCGCTTATCTCGTTTGCAGCAGATACGTGGAAGTTCTGGGGTAGTCTGAGTAGTGGTCACTGCAGTCTTGAACCTTGGCCTGAGATGTGTCACCCGTATTCATCTTTCTTGGCGTTGTGACGAGCCGACGTCGTGCACGTGGCCGTTCGGCAACGTCATCATTGTTTTGTAAACATCTGTACAGTGACACAGCCACCTGACGTTGGGACATCCAGTCGTGAGTCGTGGAATGATGTGGTTCATTACCCGTGTAACTTTCAGAACGATCAAACATCAATCAGTCCACCTACTTAAAACGACGACAGTTTCAGACATTCATGAGCTCCATGCAATTTATCAAGATCCATAATTGTGTTACACTTGCCCATTCCAAATGAAGCATGGGCAAATGTTCGATTCATTTTTCTAATTCCTGAGGTTAAGTCTGTATTTGTGAACCCGTAGTTTCAATACGTACCACTGGAATAAACTAACTGTGCATTATTTGATGCCATGCCATGTTTTTAATGCAAAGAGATAATAACATGATTTATGGTGATTAGACTATGCCATATAGAAAGTGGTCAAAGTCAAAAGATGTTTATTGTATGAAAGGCCTCCGGCCCATATACATGAGAGTTACAGTGATAAAGGAATATTCTGGATATTTACATATATATTTAAGGGTATACAATTCGCTTTATAAGAAGATCTCTTTTAGCTAATGCATATTTTATATATGAGGACAATTGAGCAAGAATATTTTCATTATTGGTTTGTAACAAAGATACATATGCATAATGGGGCTGCTTTGCAAGAAGATGGTGCGGTATATATTTCTGTCTTAATTCGTGAAAACAAGGACATATCAGGGTAAAATGAATTCATTTTCTATTCCAACGTTACATAAAGGACAATATCGACGTTCTTTCTGGACAGAGGTTTTTCTACCCTCATTAATCATTAAAGATAACAAACCTAAACGATACTTTACGAACATTGTTCTTAAACTATATGTTGTAATTATTGATAAGTATTTTTCTGGCTGGAGTAACTTTTTAAAGGTCCTGTAATATTCATATCGTGAGCTTGAATCTAGGGTGGATTTCCATTCTTGATTGAACATATCTATTGATCTAACACGAAATTCATTAATAAACCAGTTCACATCGCCAATTGTTTGGCTCAACCATACGAAACCGAAACCGTGAGAAAATAATAAATTTCTGATATCGGTTACCCAAGTGTGTTTTCCCAAATTATCCAGATTTAAAAGCATATTGTAAGCTAATTTTGGCAGACGTTGTTCGTGCATATTTAGAACCTTAAACCAATATTTTAAACATCTTATGTGAGAATTGATATACAAAGGAAATCTGCCACATTCGCCATATACCATGCAGTTAGGTGTCTTTGAGCTTACATTGAGGTACTTTTTACAGGCTAAAAGATGCACTCTCTCAATACAATCAATACGCTGAAAACCCCATATTTCAGATCCAAATGTCAAATGTAACTTATCTTATATTTGGGATTACACTTTCTTAGTAAAGCACAGATTCTAGTACTTTTGTGTGCTGGCGATTAGGGGCCTGACTCTGAGGGCGTGGGTTCGAATCCCAGTTTAGGTTGAAATTACCAAGTTTTCCACAACATTCATAGGTTAGAGAACAATAAACTGTTCCTCATTTCTTAATATCAGGTGTGTGAACTTCAGGCGTCAAAAAGCATGCAAAAAGCGAGTAATTACATCATGCACAAAGTACAAGTGCCACGCACCATACGTGAAATCAACTTTCATGCAAAGGGCCTTGCTGCATGTTTATGTAGAGTTATTTTTATACTTTTCAAATAGATTTGATGCTTTTTCATTTTATGCACTGTTACCTTTCCCGTTAGTATATATTTATATTGATAGTGATTCCCTGTTTTCACATTTTCCTCTTGTGGGCAGTATACAGTTTCTTATCATAAATCTCTTTACGTTAAGACAATAATGCAACGTGGATATAAATTGTGTCAAAAAGGGCGTGTTCTCACCGTATCTGTGTAAACAACTAATACATCCATTTTTTTAAACACAATACGAGATGCCAAAATAGAGAAACACGTGTATGTATTGGAAGGTGATGGTTTGTCCATGGTTTGTCAATCACGTCCACAGGACGTTTGACTGCCTATGGTGATATGCTTTGCTTACCGTTACAAAATGGTTACGTAGTCATTCATGGTTTGAAACTATATGACAACCTTCTTGAGGGCAAACTCAACCTCCTGTAGTGTTGGATAAAGATACCTTCTTCCGTCGATCTGCAGTATCAGTAAATCAATGTGACAGCTCAACGAAAATACACGTTGCTATGGCGCACAATTAAGCACAATGAAATATGTGTGTAACATCATTATCAATTTTGCCGTGGAATTTTCGTAGTTACCAGTATAGTTTGGGGGTGCATAATACAATGTCATTGTATCCATGCAATCCTCAGAATATACAAAGGTTATGAGAGGATTGCATGGATACAATGTATTATCTGTATGATGAAGTCCTTGTGCCCGACGGTACGATTTGCTGGCTCTGTGTTGCAGTGATTCAGATAGACTTACCTATGCATCACATAGACAAACATTCGCTCCATAACTGGGGTCAACAGTAAGAACTTTACTTGACCTGAATTGGACAGCCATTTCTGTACTCCGATGGATATCAACTATCTATATACAATATAAAGATTTATTGACATAATCTTGAGATGAAACGTTTGTTGGTTAGCAACTTACTTGAGATGTTTGTACGACAGCAACATCAGTTGATAAATGATGTTGTTCACGAGGACAACTGACGAAACCATAACGTTGTACCCTATAACATATTTCATACACAGTGTTACAAATTCGGAACGTATCAAGTATTGGTAATCCCTGTAAGGATAATGCTAGCCTTTATATCCGTCAGTATCGATGTGTAAACAATGTCATTAATTCAATGTCGTGAGAAAAAGCATTGTGCAGGGATGCTTAGGTTCCATTAGTGCTGGAATATCCGTCTAATTATCAACATAGCTTGCTGAATGACAAAAGCCGAAGCGTTTAATGGCCATTGATTTGTTTGGCTATCTGTCTTGTTTGTTCAATCACCCACCAAGACTGAACAAATTATTCTCACGTGTCTGGTGGTTTTCTAACGCCAGCAAGCTAACAAACTTGAAATGTAGATAGGATTTAATAAAACTGTGAGGATCAGTGCCTCATTACATTCAAAGGGGACACAGGAAGATGAAGCTCCTGTATGTGCTGGTGCTGTTGGCCCTGTGTAGATCTGCAGCAGGCAGTATTGAGGGGATGAAGAGACTGTATAGCGACATGTTTGGAAACTACAGCACTAAAATCAGACCAGTATACAACCAGAGTCAACATGTTGACGTTCACAGCAGATTCAACTTGGTGGCCATAACTGAAGTAGACCAGGTCAGACAGATCCTCCACAGCAACATGTGGATGAATCTAACATGGCGGGACGAGTTTCTCACCTGGAATCCTGAGGATTATAGCGGCATAAAGTCTATACATCCTCCACTGACTGACATATGGAGACCGAAACTCATCGTACCAGTGTCTGTTGAGGATCGGGATGTCTTCAAAGACGAGACATCCTCCATTACAGTTTACAGCGACGGCAGAGTAACTTGGTTACCTGGGGCAAACTTTGTTACTGACTGCAAGTTAGATCTGACGTTATTTCCATTTGATGTTCAGACATGCCAGTTCCGATTTCTACCCGTCAGCTATGATTCAAACGGGCTGCAAATGGTTTCATCACTGATTACTGCAAACACCCAAGAGTACACAGAAAATGGAGAATGGATTCTTTCAGCTTCCAGAGCATACACTACTGAAAGATTTGTTGTAGAATCAAGGTTCTCATTCCTTTACGTTGCGATTGATCTTGAAAGGCGTCCGATGTTCTTTGTCCTCAATGTAATACTTCCTGTGGTGGTGCTTTCATTTCTCAACATATTCGTCTTCTCACTTCCGTGTGACTGTGGCGAGAAGGTTTCGTATGCCATCACGTGCCTTCTCGCTCTGACTGTATTCATGAGCATCGTGAGTGAACTACTTCCCAAATCGTCCGACAACATCCCAATGGTCACCCTGTATCTAACGTGTCTCCTTGGAATCAGCGTTCTGTCCGTGGTCACCACCATCTTCATCGTCATGAAAGATCCTGCGAAGGTCAACAAGAAAAATCCACAATCGGCATTGTTCATGATACCGCGTTTTTGCTCCGTACCATTTCCAGGAAGTAGACGCAGGGTCATGGACCAGGTTCATCTGGATTCCAAAACCAATGGTTCGGCCGGCAGTGGGAATCCAACTGGAAAGGTTCTGGAAGGTCGGAGTATTTCTGTTGGGTACTGTGTAACTGCTGACTCTCTGTGTATGGTTATATTCACGGTTCTTTGGATGGTTGTGTCTGTGGGATTCCTCGTCCATATAACACAATAAAGGAATCTTCTCATGACTTTCTGCCAGTATGATAAAGTCTCAAACTATCTGTAACTGTTGTACTGAATTAACATTCAAGGGTATTTTGAAGCAACATCCACCACAACCGAGCTTGACGGACATGATTTAGGCACAACCTTTGACAATTTCCCCGATACGTTGCGTCAAGATAGGTCATTTGTCGGTACGACGTAATCGTATCTCGCAATGACGTTAGCGATCCCTGACTGTGTTGCGGTGGATACGACAAGGTCCTGTGAGAGTCTGAGTTGTGGTTACTGCAGCCTTGAACCTGGGCCACTCGTGTTCATCTTTCTTGGCGTTTTGGCGCGTGGACGTCTTGCACATGGGCCCCCGGAAACGTCATCATTGTCTGTACAGCGACACAGCCATCCGACGTTGTAACAGTCCCCCACGGGCCAACCAGTCGTACAGTGATATATTGAGACCTTATCTACAGATTAACAGAACAGGAATTTGAATTAAACTACTTGATGAGTGTCACCTTGCGGCTGTCACTCCTCCCGGAGAAGCAATAACTGAAAACATTTAGAATTTCATTAGACACTTCAAATGTTTCAGTTTATCATTTGCTGCATGTCGTATACTCTGTAACTAACTTTTCCTGAAATGATTAAACAGTTATTAAATAGTATCATTTGCTTTCACAAATATAGTTGAACCGTAGTCAACGGAGGAGTGAGTGAGTTTAGTTTTACGCCGCACTCAGCAATATTCCCGCTACAGGGCGGCGGCCTGTAAATAATCGAGTCTGGACTAGGGAATCCAGTGATCAACAGCATGAGCATTGATCTACGCAATTGGGATACGATGACATGTGTCAACCAACTCAGCAAGCCTGACCATCCGATCCCGTTAGTAGCCTCTCACGACAAGCATGGGTTACTTAATAACAAATCTAACCCGGAAGCTAACGGAGGAAGCGAATGGCGATTTGCATACTTGTTTTAATAATAGTACCATTAGAGTTGTTTGCCCATGTATGCATTGTGATCGTGAGAGATGGGACAGTTTCTGACAGTCTGTACCTGTGGTTTAGACACCACTTTGATAACACCTATTTCCTCCGAATCTGCGACAATATTCTGAATTCAGGCACGGAGAACGCCCCACAAATGAAATTCAACAATCGTATGTGGCAGTGTTACATTTGACAAAAGTATTGTATTTGTACTACAGTGTATAAGTGACGATTCAGTAGAGTGCAGTGGTGTGCTACTTCTCTCTATTTAGACATGAATGCAAGAGGAATGAGGAAGACTGACTGACTGAGTTTGGTTTTACGCCGCTTTTAGCAATATTCCAGCAACATCAGGGCGGGGGGACACCAGAAATGGGCTTCACACATTGTACCCATGTGGGGATTCGAACCCGGGTCTTCGGCGTGACGAGCCAACGCTTTAACCACTTGGCTACCCCACCGCCCCGAGGAAGAACAGCATTGATGTTGTTACGTGTTGATTGCCAAGTTGAATCTATAATTTAACTGGAATGTTTTCAGCAAAAGAACTTGGTGTGAAACAAACAAAATGCAAATGAATTCGATGCAATTAACAATTGTATTCTAAAATTTACCAAGTTTACAAATCAATACAAACCACTACAAAGGAATAACAGAAACATAATGCAAAACAGAGTTGAAAATGCAGAAGCAGTACACAAGAAAAGCGTTGACAGCAGCAATGGTGGTGCTATTCACCTGGCTGCAACAGTCGTCAAACTTCTACAATAGACATAAGCTGAGAATCCAAGCGATCGTCACACGACTTCTGGTCTTCTTGTAACGTGAGATGAAATGTGAGATGCGAGAGGCTTTGTAGAGTGAGTGAGTGACACTGGAAGTTTAAAATAGAGTTGCAAACCCTGAATCAGTATAACAGAAGAGCGTTGTCTGCAGACAATAGTGGTACTATTCACCAGGCTGCAACAGTCACACGACTCCTGGTCTTCTTGTAACGCCGGTGAGATGAAATGTGAGATGCTAGAGGCAAAGCGCACTTCTATATATAGTGTAACTGTTGTTGAATATTCCAACATGTTCTGGACTAGATTAAGCAGAAAACGCCCATGCGGTTGACGCGCTTGAAGTACCTTCCAGAACTCACAGTCTAAATATTACAGTCTATATACTGAATGTCAAAAGACACAATGTAATACACGTGAAACACTGTTCCGTGATTGAAAAATCACGCCACATTCAATGTGTCCGGTGTAGTCACATCCAGTATGTTACAAAATGTTCTGAAAAAGATTTGTTCTATATACATAAAACAAGGGGCACATGCTTGCTCCTGTCCTCTCACATTACATCAAGACCAGTGGTTGTGTTTAGACAATTCTTCCACCCTGGATATCCAGTATGGACGCTTGACCACTGTTGCTACTTGGGGAACATAAATATTACTTCATTGCTATTACAACTGCTGTTTTGTTTCCTACGCCAATCATCATTCTACTGTCATTCAACTTTTACTGTTATTCAAAAGTGTACGGCCATGGTAAATATTTTGCCGTGAATTTTAAATGTCTAAACCTATCCAATTCTAGAACACAATTGATCACTGTAAAACATGTCTTTGTTGTTCGCTGGTTTGACACTGAATTCTGACTTTCGTGGTTAATAATTTAATTCAACTTAGAAATGACTCGTACCCGAAGTGTTTGAACATTCATGAGTGCACATACGTTCATCCTGTATGTATTACAGCTTGTTACGTATCTGGCCTATTGCATTTTCCTTAGTTACTGTGAAACAAAGTGTTTCAATAAATTCTCATATAACTGCGTGATGCGTATTCGAACACGTTTTTGAGCGTAAGCAAAGTCACGCACTACGCTGCACCCAGCATGAGTGCATGGCAACAGCTTTTACTATTTCAGTATCAAGAATTGTTTACGCACTGCGCACTACTCATCACGCACATGGAAACTCGTCTAAATGCGTAATTTAGGAAAATACTTTCATAAAGCATGTCAGTGAAGAAGCGTAATTCTGTTAATTCTTTCTTTTTACGCATTTAGTGCAACCACCACCATCACTCTAAAAATTAACACTGTGTATAAGCTGTGTATGCATAAGAGTGAATAAATAATTTCATTGGTTGAAAGCATTGAATCCTGTATGCTATATCTAAACGCCCTGGGCCTAGATTTTCGAAGCTCTCTTAGCGCTACGATAGTCGTAAGTGCCATACATTTCAATACTGCTGTTTTAAAAGTTTAGAGGTACAATTGAAAATGTTTTTCTCTTAAGATTTTCCGGAATTCATATAACTGATTCTGCTAGTTTCTGTGACCAGGATTACAGCATTTAAGACCTCAGTAAATATTTTAAATGTTTAAAATAAACATCTGGACTTTTCCAAATTGAATACAACAGAGACCGAGTATGTCTGGGCCCTGAGTCGACCCTGAGTTGACGTGTTCACATGTTCACTCCTTTGTTCAGTTCCCATGACTCGTAGAATTGTTTGGTGTCATCTGATTGTGGAACACTGTAAAATACTATTTGGTAGCGTTTATGCAAAACGACTATCAGGGAGATTGCATGGTAAAGTGTAAATTTGTACCGGAATTTAACAAGTTTGCGAATCGCAAAAAATATGCACGCTAACCCCCTTATGTTTCATAAGGATAGAGTGATAACATAGCAATCCCTTTCTTAGATAAAATAGCTTCTCAATACAGATCATCTCTAGTTTAGTTCTGAAAATGAGCAGTAGGTCATATTAGTCAGACAGGCAACATCGGTGTTTGCACTATGCCACATCCTTTTTTTATGTCCTTATATCAGGTCTGAAAAACTGTTTCTTCACAATGAACCTTTACATGTTTGTTGTGTAGATATAGCTTAATGAGACATAGCATTTATTCATGCAATCGCTTGTAGCAGTGCTTCTCAAGGTTGAACTAACATATGAACTGGGCACAGCTGGAGCCAGGTTGCAGATGCAGTATCTGGAAATAGGCCTACCGGAGTTAATGAGTTTACATCTATATCATGTCATTCTCCAATTACAATGCACTGACTAATTATGTAATTATTGTTGGTGCGGGTTGCTATGCCATGGCATGTTTTAATCGTGTTAAAGACAACATACTTTCTCTATGTGTGTGCTTGCATGGGTAATTATGTTTACACTGACATACATGGAGGAGAATATTATTGACCACGGGGAGATTATTCAGTGTAAATTGTAATATGGATCTATACACGCGGGATTACATTCCATTTCTTCAGAAAAATACTTGTTTAAGTGCAAATGCCAATAACCAGAAGACAAAAAGATGACAAAGAGTGGTGATGAATTTTCGCAATACCCGCCATTAGGTAAATGACTCAGTAGGGTGATTGAGTACAGTTTCAAATGTCATTGATTGAGACCATGTTTTGGTACTTTCAAAATAGGAACATGAACTATCGTTTGTGTTGGCGTTAATGGAAAGGCAGATTATAGCTTCGGAGTGTTAATTTAGTGTCAAAGCTAAATAAGCATGTAATCACTTACTACCTCTGATGTATGTGGGATCATTAAACCAGACTGCACAAAGACATCCTCGCAAATGGTCTGTCGTAGTTAGTGATTCTATAATACCCACACATTATTTAATGTGAACCGTTTACAATCTAAATGATAGCTCATTGCTAACGTTGGTGACGTGGAGCACACCCCACAGATTCTCCTCACAGCCTTGATTCAGCATGATGGGTGCAGGGGTAACTTAGTAGTTAAGGCGTTCGCTCATCTCGCCAAAGACCCGGGTTCGATTCCCTACATGGGTACAATGTGTGAAGCCCATTTCTGGTGTCCCCCGCCGTGATATTGCTGTAATATTGCTAAAAGCGGCGTAAAACCCAACTCACTCACTCACTGACTTGATTCATGCTGACATGCCACCATGTATATGTTACGGGGAAATCAATCAGAATTATGGCGGTAATAAGTCTATACTCCCTCCACGGACTGCTACATGCAGGCCGAAACTCATTGCATCAGTCTCTCAGGGGGATCAAGACTTCTTCAAAGACGTCTCATCCACTATCACAGTTACATATTATTTTCAAGATCACATAGTTGATCAGGAAGGCTCACCTTGCGAAAGCGACTCACACAAATATACAGACATCAGTGCAAAGGAAATCCAGTTTTGACTGTCCTCAGAAAACAGATTATATTTGGTGTAAAGGGCAAAATAGATGTAAAATAGTTTATGAAGCAATAACTATAATCACTGATAACACCAGGTGATAGCTCAAAACAGAGGATTTGCTAAATTGCACATATTATCAGTAACAGTTGACATTCGTTTCCGTAATGTTTCAAAGGGAAACAGTAAACAATAACATGTGCAACTCAAACAATGCATCCTGCTCTAGATGTCTTCCAGAAACCTCCTTCCATCAACTTCAATTGTGTTGAGTGGATA